TACATAGGTGGGTTGAAATGTTCATAGGCTGATTATGAGGGAATAATGCTAAGGTTGTTAAATCATACATGCATTAATTTCAACTCTTCTTATTAATATTTGAATTCTCTCTTTTTGGTACGAGAGTGGGCAGAAAAGTTCATAGGCTGACATGAAGGAATGATGTTAGAGTTGTTAAATCATAGATTCATTAATTTCTACACTGCTTATTATTAATTGTATTCTTTCTTTCTTGGTACAAGGGTGGACTGAAAATTTCATAGGCTGACTTAAAAAAATGATGTTAGAGTTGTTAAATCGTACATGCATTAATGTCAACTCTGCTTATTAATAATTTATTCTTTCTTTCTTGGTACGAGGTTGGGCTGAAAAGTTCATTGGCTGAGTTGAAGGAATGTTGTTAGAGCTGTTGAATCATACATGCATTAATGTCATCTCTGCATATTAATAATTGTATTATTTCTTTCTTGGTACAAGGGTGGACTGACAATTTCATAGGCTGACTTGTAGGAATGATGTTAAAGTTGTTCAATCATGCATGCATTAATTTCAAGACTACTTATTAATAAATGTATTCTTTCTTTCTAGGTACGAGGTTGGGCTGAAAAGTTCATAGGCTGACTTGAAGGAATGACGTGAGAGTTGTTAAATCATACATGCATTAATTTTAACTCTGCATATTAATAATTGTATTCCTTCTTTCTTTGTACGAGTTTGAGCTGAAAAAGTTCATAGGCTGTCTTGAAGGAATCATGTTAGAGTTGTTAAATCAAACAAGCATTAATTTCAACTCTGCATATTAATAATTATATTCTTAACTTCTTGGTACGAGGTTGGGCTGAAAAGTTCATAGCCTGACTTGAAGGAATGATGTTAGAGTTGTTGAATCATACATGCATTGATTTTAACTCTGCATATTAATAATAGTATTCTTCCTTCCTGTTACGAGGTTGGGCTGAAAAGGTTCATAGGCTGACTTGAAGGAATGATGTTGGAGTTGTTAAATCATACATGCATTAATGTCATCTCTGCTTATTAATAATTGTATTCTTTCATTCTTGTTACGAGGTTGAGCTGAAAAGTTCATAGGCTGACTTGCAGGAATAATGATAGAATTTTTAATCATAGATCCATTAATATTAACTCTGCTTATTAATAATTGTATTCTTTCTTTCTTGGTACGAGGTTGGGCTGAAAAGTTTATAGGCGGACTTGAAGGAATGATGTTAGAGGTGTTAAATCATACATGCATTAATTTCAACTCTTCTTATTAATAATTGCATTCTTTCTTTGTTGGTACGAGGGTGGGCTGAAATGTTCATAGGCTGACTTGAAGGAATCATGTTAGAGTTGTTAAAACATACACGCATTTATGTCAACTCTGCTTATTAATAATTGTATTCTTTCTTTCTTGGTACAAGGGTGGACTGACAAGTTCATAGGCTGACTTGAAGGAATGATGTTACAGTTATTAAATCATAGATCCATTAATATTAACTCTGCTTATTAATAATTTATTCTTTCTTTCTTGGTACGACGTAGGGCTGAAAAGTTCATAGGCTGACATGAAGGAATAATGTTAGAGATTTGAAAACATACATGCATTAATATCAACTCTGCTTATCGATAATTGTATTCTTTCTTTCTTTGTACAAGGGTGGGCTGAAAAGTTCATAGGCTGACATGAAGGAATGATGTTAGAGTTGTTAAATCATACAAGCATTAATGACAACCCTTCTTAATAATAATTGTATTCTTTCTTTCTTTGTACAAGGGTGGGCTGAAAAGGTCATAGGCTGACTTGAAGGAATCATGTTAGAGTTGTTAAATCATACAAGCATTAACTTCAAGTCTTCTTATTAATAATTGTATTATTTCTTTCTTGGTACGAGGGTGGGCAGAAAATTTCATAGGCTGACTTAAAAAAATGATGTTAGAGTTGTTAAATCGTACATGCATTAATGTCAACTTTGCTTATTAATAATTGTATTCTTTCATTCTTGGTACGAGGTTGGGCTGAAAAGTTCATAGGCTGACTTAAAGGAATAATGTTAGAATTTTTAAATCATACATCCATTAATTTTAACTCTGCTTATTAATAATGTATTCTTTCTTTCTTGGTACGGGGGTGGGCTGAAAATTTCATAGGCTGACTTGAAGAAATTATGTTAGATTTGTTAAATCATACATGCATTGATTTCAACTCTGCTTATCGATAATTGCATTCTTTCATTCTTGGTACGAGGGTGGGCTGAAAGGTTCATAGGCTGACTTGAAGGAATGATGTTGGAGTTGTTAAATCATACATGCATTAATTTTAACTGTGCTTATTAATAATTGTATTGTTTCATTCTTGGTACGAGCTTGGGCTGAAAATTTCATAGGCTGACTTGAAGGAATAATGTTAGAATTTTTAAATCCATTAATTTTTAAGATCCATTAATTTTAACTCCGCTTTTTAATAATGTATTCTTTTTTTTTGGTACGTGTGTAGGCTGAAAAGTTCATAGGCTGAGTTGAAGAAATGATGTTAGAGTTGTTAAATCATACATGCATTAATGTTAACTCTGCATATTAATAATTTTATTGTTTCTTTCTTGGTACGAGGTTGGGCTGAAAAGTTCATAGCCTGACTTGAAGGAATGATGTTAGAGTTGTTCAATCATGCATGCATTAATTTTAACCCTTCTTATTAATAAATGTATTGTTTCTGTTCCTGTAAATTGACATCTTGCTCTTCAAAGAAGACTTCAAATGTAACTAGTCTCTTAAAAGTGGACAAAGTTGGCATTGTGGTGTTCTCAAATACCTACAAAAAAGAGTTTAGCCCCTGTGGCTGCTGCATTAGGAAACGAAACTTCAGGTTTACTAAATGTCGAAAATTGGACAGCTGAATTTAGGAGGGTGATGGCAGATTCTTGAAGATTACCCAATTTCCTGACGTTCTGCAACTGCCACCACCGGGAAAAACGTTTACCACATGATGATGGACGACAGACGATTGATTATAAATCAAATAGGCATCGCTATTCGTATATCTTGTGAGAGGGAATTGAGAAAATTCGGCACAATGAACTTGGCATGACGAAGGTTTTTGCTCGGTGCGTTCCACCTCTTCTGACACCAGATCAAAAGCGCAACAGGCTCATGCAATCACAGAGAAATCTGACATTCTTCGAGGAATGTCCTGCTGGTTTCCTTGAACGTTTTTTTTTTCAACCCAGTATGTGTTTTGGGGTTCATCACTTTGAGCCAGAGACAAAGTGACAGAATCTTTCCTCACTTGCTCCAAAGGGGTCAAGTCGTTTTCCTGTATAGGGAAATTGTTGGCCACAGTTTTGTGTTTATTAGCTATCTTCAAAACGGACACGCTATTAATGGAGAGGACTATACCAATTTGTTGTGGCATTTACGAAAAGCTGTCAGGACCAAACGACCAGGAAAATTAACGAAGGGGGTCTTCTTTCATTAAGATGCTCCAGCACATATGTCCTTGGTTTCAATGGTTGCTATTCGTCACTGTGGCTTTGATCACTCTCCCTTATCTACTAATTTGGCCCCGTTTGACTATCATCTGTTCCCCAACACGAAAATAAAAACATGGCTGGGAGCCAGTATCGCAGTGATAATGACGTCATATCAACTTTTGATGACTTTTTTGACTAACAGGATGAAAGCTTTTTCACCAATTGGATCCAAATGGAAGACATATGTGAACCTCAAGAGGGACTAGGTTGAAAAATAAACTTTATTTGGTCACATTCCATGAGAACATCTTGGTCAGCCTATGAACTTTTCAGTCGACTCTCGTATTGACGAGAATCAATTTTCACCATAAAACGATGAAATAACAAGCCATTGACATTTCAGGTTTTGTAAGATATAAAATTATCATTTGTATTGCTTTATTCGTTGATATATATATATATATATATATATATATATATATATATATATATATATATATATATATATATATGAAATATCTGAAGTATATCTTATGTCATTTGAAAATCTCAAACAATAACTAACTAGAATAAAATTGCCGACAGACAATGTTTACTGAGGATTCAGTGTTTGAAAAGATTGTTTTAAAACAGATTTAGCCCATTCACTAGTCTGTTATTTTCAGCCGAGTTATTGTTAATATTCAATGCCTTTTTAGGACAATTCACATGGCATTGTTTCGCTTCATAACGACTCGATTAGTCAATTTTCTGGCTTTGTTTTGGTGTTATTATATATATATACCTTTCTCACTCAACCTTTCTCACTGCAATGTAGCTAAAAAGCCTACGACAGACTGTACATCAGGCAGAATATTTAAAATTTCACATGGAGGCTGGACCATTAAAAAGCGCATGCGCGCGCGCACACACGCACATACACACAAACAAACAAACAAAACACAAAAAAGCAATGAAAATGGTAAGGTGATTTGCTTTTTGTTCGAAATAATGTTGTGTGAGAGTAGCGTGACGATTTTCGGCGTTGATAGCTGAAATGGCAGACCAAACACAAATTTCGGCCTAGTGTTCTACATTCACTTTCTCATAAATTTCCTTGGAAATCTATCTATTCAAACTAAGCTATCTTTACTAAAAAATCTAATAAGTCTTTTTTTTATAATCAGGCGTAGAGCATCTGATTCAGAGGGATTCGTTAACCATCGCACAATAATCGGTGAATTTGCGAGTCATCCTTATGCAGGGGGCATACTAATCTTTTGTAGGTTATTTAAAGCCGTTATATATTTTAGGGTATTTGGCGGGGTTGAGTACCAGTGAATATATCATTAACAATTTCTTTGGAGATAATAATGATTTTAAGATACAAGTCTGGCTATTTAACCCATAGTTGAGTGGAAAAGACGTGGATACATACCTTGCCCAATGGTAAGTTGCGTGGAAATGAATGTAACGAATCTGACGGAAATTCGAACTCGGCTCTTCGATTTCTCATTCCGAGCTATTATCCATTACACCACCAGCATATCCAAGCTTACGACATCTGGTATTCCCAAGTGGTCACCCATCTAGTTACTAATCAGGCTCGATGTTGCTTAACTTCGGTGACTGGACGAGAACCACTGTCTAAAGGTGAAATGGCTGTAAGCCAGGAACAATATGCAAGGGCAATATGCAGGAGTAATTTTCAAGATCAATATGCAAATTAATATTCAAGGTAAGATGTAAGAGTGATATGTAAGTGTAAAATGCAATAGTAATTGGTAAGTGCAAGGTGCAAAAATAAAATATTTAAGTGATTATGTAATAGCAATATGCAAGTGGCATGCAAGAGTCAAAAGAAAAAAAACCTCAGATGCCCAAGCAGTTATGAGATAGATGTTTTTTAATAGAATGCAGATTATTTAAAATTATGGGAAATATGAAGTTGTCTCCAGACACTTTTCCAATTGTAACGTCCATCATTTCAGGATGTTGGTAATCATGGAAGAAGAACTTCTTTTTTATCTCTACTATCGTAAGACTGTTTAGTATCTAAAATATTTCAAAATTATGTTTTAAGAATTTGGTTCAATTTTATTTTCAGAAAAAAAAACGTGGACAATAAGAAAAAGTATATAAAAGATCTGAAATTAACATATGTGTTTACATGTTCATAATTCCTTCGTGTGTGTTTACATGTTCATATTTCTTTCATATGTGTTTATATGTTCATATTTCCTACATATGTGTTTACATATTCATATTTTATTACATATGTGTTTACATGTTCATATTTCCTTCAAATGTGTTTACATGTTCATATTTCCTTCATATGTGTTTACATATTCATATTTCCTACATATGTGTTTACATGTTCATATTTCTTTCATATGCTTTTACATGTTCATATTTCCTACATATGTGTTTACATGTTCATGTATGTGTTTACTTGTTCATATTTTCATGTATGTTTTTCTTTATATGTGTTACATATTCATATTTCTTATGTGTTTACATGTTCATATTTCTTTCATATGCTTTTACATGTTCATATTTCCTATATATGTGTTTACATGTTCATGTATGTGTTTACTTGTTCATATTTTCATGTATGTTTTTCTTTATATGTGTGTTTACATATTCATATTTCCTACATATGTGTTTACATGTTCATATTTCTTTCATATGCTTTTACATGTTCATATTTCCTACATATGTGTTTACATGTTCATGTATGTGTTTACTTGTTCATATTTTCATGTATGTTTTTCTTTATATGTGTTTACATATTCATATTTCCTACATATGTGTTTACATGTTCATATTTCTTTCATATGCTTTTACATGTTCATATTTCCTACATATGTGTTTACATGTTCATGTATGTGTTTACTTGTTCATATTTTCATGTATGTGTTTACATGTTCATATTTTCTTCATGTGTTTAAATGTTCATATTTCCTACATATATGTTTACATATTCATATTTCCTACATATGTGTTTACATATTCATATTTCCTACATGTGTGATTACATGTTCATATTTTCTTCATGTGTGTTTACATGTTCATATTTCTTTCATATGTGTTTACATGTTCATATTTCGTTCAGTCAAATTACGAAATTAATTTATTTGACGACGTTACATCTTGTCAATACAAGCCAGTGTCAATGCCATTTTTGTTATTTAGATATTTAACAGATTAAAGAAAGAAAGAAAGAAAGAAAGAAAGAAAAAAGAAGATATGCTGAACATATATCGGAATTCCCATTCTAAGTAAAAGAAAGAAAGAAAGAAAGAAAGAAAAGGAAGAAAGAAGGAAAGGATTGGTAAATTCTGAATATATATTCAAATTCGCATTCCTGCTAAAGGAGAGAAAGAACTAAAATAGAAATAAGTAAATAAATAAATAAATAAATAAATAAATAAAGAAAGAAAGAAAGAAAGAAAGAAAGAGTATATGTTGAATATATATTAGAATTCTCATTTCAGGTAAAAGAAGGAAGGAAGGGAGGAAGGAAAATAGAAAGAAGGAAGGGAGGAAGCAAAGAAAGAAAGAAGGAAGAGCATATTATGAATATATATATAACTTTCAGGTAAAGAAAAGGATGAACAAATAAAAATAAAGAAAGAAGGAAAGAAAGAAAGAAAAAGAAAGAAAAAAATAAAGAACCGAAAAAGACATAAAGAATATATTCTGAATATATATTAGAATTCGCATTCCAGATAAAAGAAAGAAACGAAAAGAAAAGAAAAGAAAAGAAAAGAAAAGAAAAGAAAAGAAAAGAAAAGAAGAAACGAGAAAGAAAGAAAGAAAGAAAGAAGACAAAAAAGAAAGAATATATTCTGTATACACATATATTGAAATTCGTATTCCAGGTAAAAAGAAAGAAAGAAAGAAAGAAAGAAAGAAAGAAGACAAAAAAAGAAAGCGTATATTCTGTATACACATATATTGAAATTTGTATTCCAGGTAAAAAGGGAGAACGAGCAAAGAAAGAAAGAAAGAAAGAAAGAAAGAAAGAAAGAAAGAAAGAAGACAAAAAAAGAAAGGATATATTCTGTATACACATATATTGAAATTCGTATTCCAGGTAAAAAGAAAGAAAGAAAGAAAGAAAGAAAGAAAGAAAGAAAGAAAGAAAGAAAGAAAGAAGACAAAAAAAGAAAGCGTATATTCTGTATACACATATATTGAAATTTGTATTCCTGGTAAAAAGGGAGAACGAGCAAAGAAAGAAAGAAAGAAAGAAAGAAAGAAAGAAAGAAAGAAAGAAAGAAGACAAAAAAAGAAAGGATATATTCTGTATACACATATATTGAAATTTGTATTCCAGGTAAAAAGAAAGAAAGAAAGAAAGAAAAAAAGAAAGAAAGAAAGAAAGATAGTATATTCTATATATATATATATTGGACTTCGCATTCCGAGAAAAAGAAAGAAAGAGGAAATAGAAAAAAAAAAAAGAATTTAAGAAGGAAGGCAGTAATGATGGAAGAAAAAAAAAATATAATCTGAATATATATTAAACTTTACATTCCAGGGAAAGAAAAAAAAACAAAAAAAGTAAAAAAAAAAACAATGAAATGAAAAAAGGGAGAAAAATATAATCTGAATATTCATCAAAATTCGCATTCCATTTATTGAAAAATTATTCCACTTTCCTGTTGAAATAGGAAAACAAGCCACCTGTTCTTTATTATCTATTCATACGTCTATCTATTTCAGTTTGTTTATCTCTCTCTCTCTCTATCTATCTATCTATCTATCTATCTATCTATCTATCTATCTACCCGTTCTCTCCGAAATTAATAGCACTATTGAAAATTTAATGCAAGCAAGGGACACCAGACTCAAAATGCCACATTAGATTCCTCCTACGACTATATGCCATCAACAGCCGACACTTGTCTCCTACTTTTACCGACTCACCTCTCTGCTCCACCCCACAAAAAATATCTACAACATACCGAAAATATTTTTGGGTCTACTGAGCATTTCTCTCATCACTTCCGGATTAACATGGAAATCCCTCCCGTCAAATAACAGGATAGAAAAAGTATAGAGCACTTTTTTTTTGTGGCGATTAACTTTAGAAAGTTCTACAGGAAAATTGTGTCGTAGGAGCGTCAGCTTTTATTACTTTGGGACGGTAACATGGCACCGTGGCGTATTTGGTGTGAAATCAGCACCAGCAACTCATCCATTCGAGTTTTATCACAAGTTGGGCTTAGGGAAACTTCAGTTAAATTTTGAATCTATCCGTAATTGCTCAAACTATTTCGTTTTGGTAAATATTAATAATTTTATAATTAATGCCTTGTCGAATCAAAACTGGCGCAAGATCACTTATTTAGATCATTGAGTTATTCATGTTACAAAATCGAAAAATAAACCTCTTATTTGAAGCGTTTTAAAGCATCTACATTATTGTTTGCTGTTAAAGTGCAAACGTATATGAGGATATCCGTAGCTTGTCACGTAATTAATTTTGATCTGAAATTTCTATAGTATAATGTTCAATCCATATGATTAGTGTTAATCACGGAACTAAATATATTGGCAGAGAAGAAATTATGTGGAAAAATAAATATCGTCTTTTGTGTGTATGTCCCTTCAAGCTATAGATGATCATGGCTCTCCACAACAGCCTTTTTTTTTGTAAGAAACTTTAAAGTCCCCATCATCTCTTTTTTCCTTGTGTTGGGCAGGTTACTCACCGTCCCTTCTGTTTCCCTGACATTATTATTATTATTATTATTATTATTATTATTATTATTATTATTGACTTGGATTTATTTTATAATCCCATGCCTGGGCATTTTTTTGCTTTTCCCAATTAATTAAGCCAGCAAGAAACTTTTGCGTGTATGTCCCTTCAAGATATAGGCGATCATCGTTCTCCACAGCTCTCTACATTTTTTATTGTAAAAACTTTAAAGTCTCCATCTTTTTCCTTGTTTTACAACACGTTGGGCAAGTTACTCGCTGTAACTGGCAGCTATTAACAAAAAATTAAACAAAGCTCTTCATATGGGCTGTGCCTGTTAAAACTATATCTTCTGGATTACCCGGAGAGATGGTACCCCAGGGATTTTGCTGATTTGTTCCTGAGTTCCTTTCCTCATCAGACTCAAAGCTCCAACCACAACAGGAAGAGTTTTAGTTTTATTATCATTATTATTATTATTATTATTTTTGTGTTTTACCATTGCTTTGTGTAGTACGAGTTATCACCAAGTCTGAACCAGAGACTTCAAGAAACAACAACTTTTTGTTTGTATCAGAAAATCCAAATAGATGAGGTACCACACAATCAGAGATAAAAAGGTAATTATAGCCACTGTGTGGAAAGAAATCTACGCAAAATGTGAGAAATTCCCATTCATATATTTTACGTCTATTAGGAATTTGATTCACATTTACTTCTTTTGATATCATCCCCAAAACATCAATGACAATAAGTCATGTTGTCCTGAGATGCCACATTTTACTGATTTCTATCTCGAAGTCCATGTATTTATTTAGTTTTTCAAACATTTTCAAAGATGCGTTTTGGGGCTGTAACATCTATCAGAAGTCTGCCTATTATGTGTTTTCCCACTTATACCTGGGTGATTTGCCTGGATTTCCTTATCAGTTGGAAAGCTGAAATTCCAGAGGATGTTAGTCCCTTCATTCTGTACACCTTGTGGTGGCTTATGCTCCTACAAATTCTCTTTGCGAGGGAGGTTGAGTGCGCAACATAGTGATCAATATATGTACTGAGCAGCCCTATCATGTCGTTGCAAGTACTCCGTGGGCGCCAGTCGGTTACACCCAGATATTATGTGGTCAATTGTCTCCGGATGTTCTCCACATACGCAGCAGGATGGGCTGCTGCTAAGTTTTAGGACATTATATTGGTAATTCCTGGTTGGAAGGCACTGATCCTATGCAGAAGTTATTAATTATTCAGTTTCTAGTTTTAGACCAGAGCCTACCAGATACTGTTGCGTAAGAATATGATGTTATTATTATTATTATTATTATTACAAATATGTGTCGTTTTGATGCTTATTTTCATTAAAAGTCACTGTTGCTTAAATGTTTAATCCATGACATTCTTAGCATTTATCGGTAAAACAAAAACTGTGTCGCCCCAAGTCTTTCTTGTCGACCATTCAAACTGGGATAAAATATATGCTTATTTCATTTGTAGGCTCCGAACCTATAGACATACCTACGTATTATCTGGGCGACGGTTTTTGCCACTCTTATTCACCCAGTACAAGGCTTGAGAGTAACTCAAGTTAGAGGCTAACTGAATGAGGTTGTTTTATGAACATAAAGTAAGAAGTACAGGAAGTCTAGTGTAGAGACTTAAAGATCTTACGATTGTAGTGATCAGGAAAGCATTCACTCGGGAGTCTGTATCACAAAGCAGCGTCTCTTGGGAAGAAGCTGTCCAAATGGAATTTTGTGCTTACTAATGGAATAACATAGCGATAGATTGGTTATAATAACAAAAACGCTGAGCCCTCTTGTGCTATAGCCAGAAATATTTCTTGGGTATGCTGGATGTCACGAGTGTCTTGACTCAACGGGTCTATATTTTCCTTTTTTATTTTTATTTTTTTTTAACTATGTTGGTTTTAACATTTTATCTTTGTTTGAACTTAACACAATTCATATATCGTCTCGTATAAAAAAAAAAGACTGCAGCACTTAAGATATAAATATTTTTCACTACAAGCAAATAAATAATGCCACTAGAGACGTAAGTTTCTACTGAGTGTGAAGACTTTAGAAGGAATCGGAAACAAGGAATAAACCTCTTCTCCTGTTCAAAAGACAGGGAGGGATGTGAACCGGACTATAAGTGAACCTATATACTTTTATTAAATATAATCGAAGATTGATTTATTTTTTTACGGATTTTCAGGTTATTTAAAGCCAGAACATGTTTCTAGATTGTAAGAATGTTTTGGGGATAATAAACGATTTACTAATTAACCCAGATTTTGAGCGAGTGAGAAGAGTTGGGTTCATGCCTTTCCCAATGGTATTTGCGCGTAAGTGAATATAACGAACCAAGTTTACAACATCTGGTATTCCCAAGCAGTTAGCCGTCTAGGTACTGACCAGTT